TTGCAAAGAACATATGAACAAGGCCACCTAGCCGTTCGAGTCTTCTCTTCCATTTAATAAGATCATGGCTAATCTGATTTTAAACTTGACTTGATATTCCTGCATACACTTGATAATCTTTCATCCTCTGAAGAGACTGATCCCTCCACAAAACCCTGGTCCATTCCTTTATCAACCCAGATAGTCCATCCCTTTCCTTGACACCTTTTCATATAAGTGCAGGAGGCCTCCTCACTGTCCACAGGCTCCACACCTCTAAGGTGAAGCAGGGGTTTATATGTACATTGTATTTGTTCCTCACAATGTGATTCTGAAGAAGATTCATACTAGACTCGAAAGTTAACTCTGTTTCTGTCTCCACAGATGTAGCCAGATTTGCTGAATTTCTCCAGCATTCTCTGCATTTGTTTCAGGATTCCAGCAGCCACTGTATTTTGTCTTCAACTAACTTTTAAAGTAAGGCCGTGTTTGCCCCCTCAGGTCAAAATAAGTATTGTTATTGCAGGAAATGTGAGCTTGTTTGTGCATAACAAGTTTCCATCATCATCTTTGTGAAAATGAGTTTAATGATGTTAGTTGATGGATATAGATTGACCAGGAGGCCAAGAAAAGTGCTGTTGTTCAAAATGGTGCTATATATCTTTTATGTTTGGTGTGATCCCAACAGCAGTCTCTTGCTACTTCCTGGAATGTGTACCAACTGAGGCTGTGACATTTTCTAGAGTCGGGAAGGCTGGTGGCCCCTACAGAACGGCTTGGAGCTTAGAACTGATGAATAGTTGCCTTGGAAAGTTACATTGTGAAACTGTAGTTGATAAAAGTTGGGGTAACAGAAATCCAACGAACCATATTAGCCTCCAGTATAAATCCTGATCTAAAAATAAAAGGCTCCCTTCTGATCAGGTTTCATTGCTAACCAGATACTTAGTGAGACAAAAGCAAAGTAGTACGCAAGCTGAAATCTGATAAGATACAATGCTGGAGATAACTGAACAGACCAGGCATCAAGTGTGGAGAGAAAAACTAAGTGACTATTACAGATTAAAAATCTTTCATCCATATGATAAAATGCCATTAACCTTGAAAAATTATCTGTTATCCTATGCTGCCTGACTTATTAGAGACACTGGGGGTACACTGTTTACCTGTATTTATGTACCTACATAATTATGCAGAGATTAATTGATCAACCTATTTATCCAACAATTTAGCCTACCTGTCTTTTCATTCTGTCAACTATCTTACCTTGAACTGACCTCTCTGTAATTAGCTTTATATTTATTAAAAAGAAAGTTTGTTGCATTACACAGTGCCTGTCACAGCTAATTTTTGTTGGCCAAAATTTACCCCAGAAAACATTAATTTGTTTGGTATTCCTTGAGTATGTTATAAGATTGGTTCACTACCTATGAGCAAATCTCTCACCAACCTATGTTTTCTTATATTTAGCTTTCATCTTTATGACACATCCTTGTGAATGAAGTCTCTCGCACAAACATCTCAAAAAAAAGTGCAACTGACATTACCCCTCTCTCAGGGGCCTTAGCTTTGCATGCTTTTGTATTGCATCTGTTTACTGCAGCCTGTCATTTGTCTTCTTGAAACTTGAGCATTTCTGTGCATGAGCACCTTTTAACCTCTTCTTTGCTTGTGTATTTTAGATAGTTATTTATTATGTATCCATTTGTCCTTTACAGCCACTGCTCAGCGCAAATGTCGTTTGCAGCTGCTTCCCCTCTGATGACAGTAGTAGATAGAAATCTTTGGTAATACCCTTAATCCATCCCATTGTGTCATTTATTATTTTAGCAAATCAGCTGCATCACCAAAGTTGCAGTGCTAGAAATTTAAAATACTAACCTGTCCTTTCGGTTGCTTGCATGTGTTTCAGAAATTTTCTAGAATGCCATTTGGAGTCATTGATGTCATATCTGCTGCCCTCAAGTGGTAAATATTCTGCAGGAGAGAGAGACAGAACCTGTGCACTGTGATGTTCAAGTGTTTGCATGACAGGAATACTTTAGTGCTCTTAGTGTGCCTCCTGGTCCAGGAGTAGGGACATTATCACTGCCACAAGAGGGTCCCTTTACACGCGTTGTATGCCATTTTCACACAGCTCATTTCGGCTGTGGGTTAATTCACTGGTTTGACATGATAGAAACTGGCCAAGGTGATGGCCTCCTGACATGCATGAAAGCCAAAGGCCTCAGTATCTCATGTGACAACACTCATGAAAGATCCCCAGTTAGCTGACTGCACTGGTACAGGGTCCCATAGGCTACCTGACTACACTGCAGTATGGATGATGGGGTTTCTCTCCCCTCACCCCCCTGCTTCCTTCCCCCTCATGCACACACACGTTGTTGGCTCTTCGCAACATTTTATTGTTTACTTGCCCCTTAGGACATACTTCTGGTTGGTATTCTAGCTCTGTTTATATTTGTACTTGTTTCCTATGGGAAGGGTCCAATTGAAGGGACGTATACATTTTTTTTTTCAAAACCAAGAGACCAGTGATGCAGGGCAGTGAAGAGACAAATGGCAATCAGAGCATGCAAGGAAGTTGTTAGATATACATGCAGAAGAATGCACTGGAAATTAGAACCAGAAGGAAATAATAGTAAAATGTCCAAGCTTAAAACTTTTTATCTAAATGCATGTGGAATCTGTAAGAAGATAGATGAGTTTATGGTATGCATAGAAATAAATATAGATGACTTGATAGCTATTACAGAGATGTTGTTACAGTGTGATTAAAACTGAGGACTCGGTATATAAGAGTATTCAATGTTCCAGAAAAATAGGCAAAGAGGAAAGGGAAGTGAGATAGCTTTGCTAATAAAGGAAGGTATTAGTGCCATTTTGAGTAGTGATATAGCTGCAGCAGACCATGATGTTGAATCCGTTTGGGTGGAAATAAAAACCAAAAGAACTGGGAGACTGTAAATCAGAAACAAAAACAGAAATTGCTGGAAAAGCTCAGCACACACATGTGCACGTGTCTATGTGTGTGTCGGGGGTGGGGGGGAAGGGTTGGTGGGTGCGTGGAAGTAAAGAATGGCAAGGGAAAGATGTCATGGGGTACAGGCCTCCAAGCAGTTGTCTCACTGTAGGCCAAAGTATAAATCAGGAAGTAATGGAGGCATGTAAAAAGGGCACTACAATTGCCAGAGGGAAATTTAATCTGTATATTGACTAGACAAATCAGTTGGGCAAGGGTAACATAGAAGACTAATTTGTAGAGTGCATCACGGATTGTTTCTTCGAGCAGTATATTGCGCTTCTTGCCCAGGAACGGGCCATTTTAGATTTAGTAATTGTAATTAGGTAGGATTGACAAAATATCTTATAGTTACGGATCCTTGGAGAAGTAACAATCACAACATGGTAGACTTTCAAATTCACTTTAAGGAAGAGCAAATTGGGACTCAAACCAGCGGTCTCAACTTAATTAATGACAATAATTGTAGTCTGAAAGAAGTGTTGTCTAAAATAGGCCAGGAAAATAGACCAAGAGCAAGGTCAGGAGATGAGCAGTGGTAGACATTTGAGCCGATGCTTTATAACGCTTGACAAAATTTATCCTAGTCAGAAAGGAGGACTTTATGAGAAGGATGAACCACCCAGGATTGACAAAGTGGACAAGGAAAGTATCTAATCAAAAACTAATGCATACAAAGTAGTAAAAAATAGTGATAGGCTAGAGAATTGGGAATTTTTTAGCAATCAGTAATGGATAACTAAAAGCTAAAGATGGAAAAAATTGATTATGAAAGTAAGAAATATAAAACCACATACCTATTCTCAATTGGGAGGAAAATCTGCAATCCTTGCATTGTCTGGCCTACACGTGACTCCAGAGCCACAGCAATGTGGTTGACTCTCAAATGGTCTAGCAAGCCATTGTATCATATCAAATTGGAACAAAGTCTAAAGAAAGGAATGAAACTGTATTGACCACCTGTCATCAACACCAGCAAATGCAGCCCTACCAACCCTGAAAATTCCTCCTTTCCAACATTTAAGGCCTTGTGCCAGGATTGAGAGAACTGTCCCACTGAGTTGTCAAGCCTGACATAGTCATACTCAAACATATGCCTTACAGAGATGAAAATGCAGTGTTGCATTGTCTGCAGTTGCATGAGATGGATCTGTCTGTGGGGAAGTGGAGGTGATGGAGGAGCGGACCATGGTATCGTGGAGGCAATGGTTCTCTTTGAATATAGGAAGGAGCGGAGAAGATGTGTTTAATGGTATCATACCAGAGGAGGTGGAAATGGGGAACACGATCTATTGAATGTGGAATTGGTCAGGGTGCAAAATGAGTTCAACTAAACCCCAACCATGGTTCTGGGTAAGAGGGGAAAGAATTCTGAGAACAGAATTGAAGGAAATTGAATGGACACAATTAAGAGTTCTGTGAAGAGAAGCAGAGTAGAATTACTGGTAAGGAGGGTGGTATTGTCAGAACTTGTGAAAGGGAAACTTGAGAATGGAATTGGAGTCCCTATGCAGCCTATTGCTACATCCTTCCCAAAATATATACTGTTTCAGTCTTCAGAATTGATTTCTTTCTGACTTGGCCCTATGTTTTCACCTTTTTCCAAGTTTATTCCATCTGTGACTGTTCTGTGCTACTTTTACCATCTCATTTGGTTTCTTTCTCTCTACATTTCCTACCAGGAAAGCATGAGTACTGCCCCACCTCCTTTTGAATGAATTCCTATCTTTGTCAGTGAACTTGGTCAGAAAAGGTCCTGGCCAAAACGTGGGTGCTTGGTGATGTAAGAAGAGTTCTGAGGAAAAGTCATACTGGACTCAGTGTTAAATCTGTTTCTCTTTCCACAAATGCTGCCAGACCTGAGTTTCTCCAGCTTTCTTTGTGTTTACTATCCTTCGTTGATTCAGGTAGCTGAAATAAAAAAATTATGACTGATAATTTTTTTTGAAAAATACTAGTTGTAAAAATCTTTTTGTTTTGAATATTTTTTCTCCTCTAGAGAATTAAAACTCCGCAACTATGTCCCAGAAGATAAAGAACTGAAACAACGACAGGTGCCCAATGCCAAGCCAGCTTCAGGTTAGTAAATGTATGGCTGCTGAAGCACCTCTCATGGAAAGATGAAGGGTGCAGAAGAGCGCAGTTTGGCTCATTGTGTCCGTGCCAGCCAGAAAAGAGCGATCCAATTTAGTTCCACTTTCTAGTTCTTGGCCTGCGGATTACAGCAGTTTAAATGTAAATCCAGATACTTTTTCTAAATTCACTGGATGCTTCTGCCTTGACTGACCTCTCAGGCAGTGTTTTCCAAACCCCTACCACCCCAGCTGAAAAAAATACTGCTCACCAACCTTCTTTTCCTTATACCAAATAGTTTAAAATCTATACCTGTAGCTCAGCTTTTGCACCAATATGTAACATTAAAGTGCTGTTGGGCAGGGTTGACTCTCCAGTTGTCACTTATTTTGGATGAAGTAATAAGAAATTTGAATGAAAGATGTGCCATACATTATTAATTGATATGTTTCCGGGAAATGTAATAGTTTGATAATGTTGTCAAGGAATTACAACTGGTCCCTATACGATGGTCCTTAATTCATTACGATTCTGAATTGGTTATCCCACCCAAAATGTTATGGTCCCAGGTGAGAAGGGATGAACTGACATTCATTTCTTTTAATACAAAACCTGCCTTGGTTCGTTGCAACAAGACTAATTTAAAAAGAACCCTTTCCTCGTGCATACCTTTTCCCAGCCCAAATATATTTATGTTTTAAAAGGAGCCAATTTAACCAGGTTTTCTTTGGTTAACGAATAAGTTTATTAGCTATGAAAACAGGGAAAGATGATAAAATTAGACACATATGCACAGATACGCGTGCACACGTATGTACACATACGTGCTCGCGCAAACACCCCCCATAACGTTAATTTTGTTTTTTCTCCATATATGCTGCCAGATCTTCTGAGTTTCTGGGGGGGATGAGAGGTAAGAAGTAAATGATAGGTGGAATAGAGCCCAAAGACAGAGAAAAGCAGTTGAACAGACAAAGGAGTGGCTAACAATCTGCCTAGAACAGTGAAGACTATCAATGGGGACTGTTATTGGCTAACAATGGGTTGTGTGGAAGAGCAAACTCTACAATAACAAGGCCTGGTGTGTGGGCGTTGGGTTAAGAACATGGGAAAGCTCAAGCCCTAAAGTTTTGGAACTCGATACTGAGTCAGGAAGGCCACAGGGGTCCCCAAGTGGAAAATAAAGTGCTGTGCTTCCAGCTTGCACTGAGCTTCGCTGGAGTACTGCACCAAACCTGATAGAAAAGCTGGCACGGGAACAGGGTGGTGTGTTGAAGTGGCACGCAACTAGAAGCTCAGGGTCTTCTTTGCGAACAGAACGCAAGTTTTCTCTGAAGTGGTCCTCCAGTCTATGCTTTCTTTCCGTATTGTAGAGGAGACTACATTTGTGAGCAGCAAATGCAATAGATTAGATTGTGTGACATGCAGGTAAAGCGCTGCTTCACCTGGAAGATGTGTTTGGGCCCTTGGATACTGAGCGGGGAGGAAGTAAACTGACGGTGTTACACTTTCTGCAATTGCAACGGAAGGTGCTTTGACGCTGTCCGGGGGTGTTGAGAGTGAAAGAACAGTGGACCAGGGTATCGCGAGGGAACAGTCCCTGTGGAAGGTGTACAGGCGAGGGGAATATGTGTCTGATGGTGGCATCTTGCTGGAGGTGGGGAAATGGCTATCGCTGTTGCGGGAGGGAAGGGAAGGGGTGAGGGCAGAAGTGTGGGAGATGGGTCATACCTGGTTGAGGGTCCTGTTGACAACAATGCTGGGGAATACTCAGTTGAGGAAGAAGGTAGACACTTCAGAGGCTCCCTTGTTGAAATTGGCATCATCGGAACATATGCAATGAGGACGGAACTGGGAGAATGGAATAGAGTCTTTACAGGAAGCAAGGTGTGAGGGTGTATAGTCCAGGTAACTGAGAGTTGGTGGGTTTATAGTGGATACTGGTGGCCAGTCTGTCCGTAGAAATGTCGAGGTAGAGAAGGGAGGAGTTCGATGGACCAGGTGAAGGTGAGAGTATGGTGGAAATTGGAAGTGAAATCGACAACCTTTCCAATTCTGGATGAGAGAGGGAGGCAGCACTGATGATATCACTAACATACCGGGGAAAGTGTTATGGGTAGGGCCCAGAATAGGACTGGGACAAGAAATATTCCATGTACTCCACAAAGAAACAAGCATAATTGGGCCCATACACGTATCCATGGCAACCCTGATGTCCTGAAGAAAATGAGAAGTGTTAAAAGAAAAGTTGTTCAGGGTGAGGACGAGCTTGGCCCACTGGCCAAGTGTTGTAATTAGTTTTTAACTCCGTTTCTTATGTATTCCTGAAGGGTAAAACACAAACATGTTTTTCATGCAGAGCTGCCCCTTTCATTCAACTCATATCATGTCAACAGTCTGGAATACAGCTGTCAGGAGAGCACAATTCAGTTTTTGAATGGTATCTCTTCCTTTGAGATGTTGCTGTCATGACATTCAGGCAACATTCTATGGCTCCTCTTATACTCTCTAATCAACACATGAATTTTAAATAGCCACTGTGTTTATATTATCAGCCATCTTTTGACTTCTGTCTGTCTTTCAAAAAAAAAGTTCATTTATATCCGTAAGTATTTCAGGGTTGTGATCATTTTCATGACAGGGGATATCTACCTCTGCAGTGGAAAACTTCTTACTATATATCATTCTTTTAAATGGTAAAAGAGATCCAGAAACGAAGGCAGATACATATTTGAAAATTTCCCCTTTCAAATATTAGTTGAGTGGAGAAAGAATGAAACGATTCCAAAATAAGTATATTCATTGGCTCAATTGAAAGATAGCTTATTAGAGGGAATATTATTGTGAGAGCTGAGTCAATTTAATTCAAAATATTCAGTTATGTTTCAAAATCCAACAAGTTTGAATTTAAATTTGATTTGTTGTCACTTGCATTTTACAGTGAATAATACAATAAAATACAGTGAAAAGCTTCAACTGTTGCCACAATATGGCCATTTTGAATAGTTTAAGAATAAAAAGAGTAATAAGATATAACTGAAAGAGAGTCTATCTTCGTTCCACCATCTCCACCATGAGTCCTGAGCCAGCTCACCGGCAACACGAAACCTGTGTGCCTCCACTCCTCCTACACCGCCCATCTACTGTCTATGCTGGATCCGCCATTGTAGAAGTCGCCCCTCTTTAGGTGCCATCTCTTCACTGCTGGGCCCGCTTCGCCAACTGCACCTGCACTTGCCCGCAACCAGGAGTTCCTGGCCCTGCTGCTGTCGCCTTGCCAATACTAGGAGTTCCCGCTCTGGGCCTACTGTGACCATGCCTGGGGGAGTCCCTGACACTGCTGCCAGGCCAGGCCGGCACAGCAGCAGCAACAGTCCCGCTCTGGTTGCCTTCCTCCAAGATATCATCTTGCTAGCACTGCTGTTGTGAAGTCTGCTGCCACCATCATTGCCTCAGATCGCTGGAGGAGCTTTGCTGCTGCTGCCGCTGCCGCTGCCACCAGCCCCGAGTGTTGGGAGGACGTCCTTGATGCCATTGCTGCTGCCTCCAACCACTGGTAATGCTACATCCGGGGGGGCTGCCGCCACTCCACGCACGACCCGCTCTCGATGCAGCCGACGAAGCCACCAAATGAAAGAAAGAAAACAGATGGGAGAGGATGAGCTCCAGACCAGAGCTCGCATGCAGCCTTCCTGCTGCCATCTCGGACAGTCTATGCATAATTGTGTGGATTGTTATGTAGAGGGAGTGAGTTAAATAGAACTGTTCTGATTAAAAACAAAATGACTTTTCGTCAATCTGTTTGAACACATCTGGGACAGGTCAAACTCTTCACCTGGCACCCGATCCTTCTGGCCCCGAGGCTAGGGACAGTCTGGTCAGATTCTTAAAGTCTTAAGAGATTAATCTCAATAATAGTATTCTTAAATTCTCAACCAACCATTCTGTGTGTAATAAGTCAATGACACCTGACTTCACTGTTTAATAACATGACTGATTTAAGAAGCACATTACAAATAAGATCAATCCCTCTAACAGCTGATGTCTCATGTAACCTCTATGGATGTGTAGTCTGATGCTGGTTCCATGATTTGGCTACTACAAATACACTAAAGTGTTAAGCAGAGCCAAGTTGGAAGGCATGAATCCAAGACCACTAGGAGTACTGAAATCGAGTTATCTACTACTGTGGGTTTTAGAAGCTTAGTTTCGGCAGTGTTGTAACAGGCTCTTCAATTATTGTGAGGAAGCATGGTGTTGGATAAAATGGGGGAGAGGAGCTGAGGAAGATGTGCCCAACACATGGACTGCTCGACACCCAGGTGTGCTGCAATAATACCTCTGGGGACCTTGCAACCCCCTTCATTGCCACAACATCTGCAATGGTTGAGGAGAAAGCTTAACCAATTTTCCAGGGCTACCAGAGATGACAATAAATTCTACTTTTGCCAGTGATTCCTGCATTCCTGGAGCAAAATAATAGCAAAGTGGCTTACTTCTTCCAAAAGAGGTGTGAAAAATAGTCAGGTTCTGACTACCTTTCTTGGCTGAAACCCAGCCATGGAGGAGAGTGTTATCTGCAAAGGATAAAACTTGTGCCACTTTCCTTTTTGCTAAAGAATGACATTTAAGTTAGACTGGCTCGACCTGGCTTTGTTTATTTGAGTAAATGCACTGATTGATATGTTACTGCGCTGTGCAGCGCAGGTTTATCCAATGTCTGATGCTGTAGAGTTGGTTGATCTTGTACCTGAGCTAGGGATAGAGGAACCAAACAGGGTTTATCTTGGTGATCACTAGCCCATAAGGGCTGGTAAGCTCAATATAGTGGTCCTTCTTGATGCGTACAGTCTTCCAGTGTTTAATTAATAAGAAAAGATGCTGAAGACTTTTGAATGATGAATTGACATGTTTAAAAATATGTCAATGGCGTAGTGGTATTATCACTGGACTGTTAATCTACAGATCCAGGTAACGTTCTGGGGACCTGGGTTTGAATCCCGCCACGGCTGATGATGGAATTTGAATTCAATAAATATGTGGAATTAAGAATCTAATGATGACCATGTGTCTATTGCTGGTTGTTTGGAAAAACCCATCTGGTTCACAAAATGTCCTTTAGGGAAGGAACTGCCATCCTTACATGGTCTGGCCTACATGTGACTCCAGACCCACAGCAATGTGGTTGACTCTTAACTGCCCTCTGGGCAATTAGGGATGGGCAATTAATGCTGCCTCGCCAGTGATATCCTCATCCCATGAATGAATAAAGAAAAAAAAATTGACATCTTGCAAGAGTCTTGCTGAAACTTGAAGAAGCTGATGAATGTATGATTTTCCCAGTGTTATTTGGTACTCTACATATGACCTGACTTATCTGTTCATGGGTGTTCATTCTATGTTTGTGCCAACAGTGGAGGATAAAGTGAAGGATCAACTCGAAGCAGGGAAGCCTGAGCCAATCATTGAAGAAGTGGTATGTGATGCCTTTTGTTCTCTGGTGCTTTTTTTTCACTGTAATTACAAACTGATATTGAACAGTCTAGCTTAGAAAAGTTTACAACAGGAGAGACAATATTTGATTTTCTGATAGTTGTGTGGTGAATAACCCATTTGTGAAAAGAAGGCCCCCAGATGCAGTTTCAAATCTCTGCTGGTCTCAGTTGGGAGAGTAGAATGCTCCAATTATTCTCAGTATTCTTGTTATCAGCATTTGCTGCAGCATTGAGTATGCATTTATTTTTACAATGTGTATCTGTGGTCAGCAGGTGAGAATAGAATTCGGCTTCCTGTGATGCCTTGTGTGGCGCGCACACTGTAATCTTACGTGAAAAAAGCTTGACTTGGCAAAGAAGAGGTAATATTAGAACTGCACTGGTTCATGAGTCAATGCTTTCAACTTGGGCCATGAGAGTTTCAGTGTTTTCCAAATATGCAACCCCATCAAGGCCAACAGTTGGATGAATCGCCAGCAACTTCAAATTTCCTTTCACATTTCACACACGCACATCTATCATAATTCTGTTTTGTTGCTTGAACATAATTCTGGAATGACATAACTTTGTGGGAGCGCCTTCTCAAATGGATTACAGTCGTTCAAATAGAAGTTCTCTTCACAGGTAAAACTTGAGATGGAAAATAAGTGGTCTTGCCAAGAATGATTTTTAAAAAAAAAACTTAATAAAAACGGTTTAATAAAGATAATCTCTTTAGATTTTCTAACCTTAATCATTGTAACCTCTTCCAGCTGATATGTCCCTGCCCCAAAGCCACTGGCCTTTTGTGTGCTTTTCCCTATTTTGCCTTATCATTTGAGAATGAATCCTCTGCCCCGTTGGCCCCAGGTACTGAGGCTGACTCTTAACATGATGAATTCTCCATTTTTCCTTCTTCCGTGGTCACTTAGAAGTCATGTTAAATTGACCATATACCTTTTTAGGTCTGGCTAAGAATTTGTTACAAACTGTTCAGCTCAATGGACGGAAAGACAAATGATAGGATAGATCAGTATAGAAATTAAAGAATCAAAAGGGTTGAAAGATAGCTAAGTATAGACATTGGAAACAAACACCCAACAGCCTTCTCTGGGCAACAATCAAAGGAAAAATTTGGGATTAAACAAGAAAAGAAAAAATAAACTTGGATGGTGGTGGCGCCAACAAATGCCTTAGTGTGCTGAACAATTTGATATGTTTCTCATTCCTTTGTTATTCTTGTACTATCAAGGAGGTTACAAAATAAAAGCTAAGGTATTATGCATTAGCTGTCCAGAGCCTTAATCCGACCTCATCTGGAGTACTTCTTAGTTTGTTCATTCCTCTTTTCTGTTAAGTATCTAGTTAACGGTAACCCCAGGATGTTGATGGTGGAGCATTCAGCTATGGTAATGCCATTCAACCTCAAGAGGAGATGGTTAGATTCTCCTCTGGAGATTGGAGATAGAAATTGCTTCACACTTGTGGAATAGGAATCTTAATAACCATTTTTTAGTCCAAACCTAAATGTTATCCAGATCTTAAAGCACATGAACAGGAAATCTTCAGTATCTAAGGAGTTGTCTTGTACTGAACACTGTAATCATCCAGAAACATCTCTACTTCCGGATTTGTTCTCGAGGATGAATATTGATGAAGTAGCTGGAGAAATTTGAGCCTAGGATTTTATCCCACGGAACTTAGAGAGATGTCCAGCTGAGATGATTGACCTTCAACAAACATCCTCCTTTGGGTTAGGTTTGACACCAACCTGTGGAAGGTTTACCCCAGATTCCCATTGACTTCAATTTTGCTTTGGATTCTTGGTGCCACATTTGGTCAAATGCTCGAGCAGTGTCAAGGAAAGTTACCCTCATTTCATCTCTTGACTTCAGCTGTTTTGTACATGTTCAGAACAAGACTGTAATGAGGTCAGGAATCAAATGGCCCTGACAGAACCCAGGGAGTAGGTTAAAAGCAAAATATTGCAGATATTGGAGATCTGAAATAAAGAAAGAGTGCTGGAGAAACTCAACAGATCTGGCAGCATCTGTGGAGAAAGAAGCTCAGCTAAGGTCTCCAATCCAATATGACTATTCTTTGAACCTCAATTTATTTGGTTAAGGACAAGCTGAAGTAGGTTTTTCATTCTGGTTGGTTCTCCTCATTAAAGACCCAGTCAACTCTTCTAGATTTGTCAGACTTCATTTCCCACTTACAATATACTTCCCACTTTGCTATACAAAAGCGTGGTTCGGCCACATCTGGAGTATTGTGTCCAGTTCTGGTCACCTCATTACAGGAAAGATGTAGAAGCGTTGGAACAGGTGCAGAGGAAATTTACCAGGATTTTGCCTGGAATGGAGGGAAGGCCTTACGAGGAAAGGTTGAGAGAGCTAGGGCTTTTCTCTTTAGAACGACGAAGGATGAGAGGTGACTTGATAGAGGTGTACAAAATGATCAGAGGTATAGATAGAGTAGACAGCCAGAGACTTTTTCCTAGGGTGGAGGTAGCTTTTATGAGGGGACATAGTTTTAACGTGAAAAGAGGTAGATATCGGGGAGACGTCAGAGGTAGGTTCTTTACTCAGAGAGTGGTAGGGGCATGGAATGCATTGCCAGAGAGGGTAGTGGAGTCTGCCTCATTAGGGGCATTTAAGCGGCTATTAGATAGGCATATGGATGATAGTATAAGGTAGCGGTGGAGGTTAGATAGACCTTAGGTTTCGGGTAAAATTTCGGCACAACATCGTGGGCCGAAGGGCCTGTACTGTGCTGTTATGTTCTATGTTCTAATCTTGGCTCTGACTAACTGATTTTTTGTTTTAAATGCCCTATTATTTCAATACTAATAATAGATTCCATCACTTCCCACCTTTACTGATGTCAGACTAAGTAGTAAATAGTTCCCTTCTCTCTGCCTCCTTTCTTGAACAATGGGGTTATGTCTGTTATTCTTCAATCCATAAATCTGTTACAGAATCTAGAAAACTTTAGAACATCAAAACTGATGAGTTGATCATCTTTAAAGCCATATTCTTTACAATCCTATGATGTAGGCATCAAGATCCAGAGGATTTATCAGCTTTTAGTCCTGTTAATTTCTCCAGTACTTCTATTTCACTAATATTATTTAAGTTCCTTAAGTTATAAGGTTTCTAATAATTTAAAGTTTGTTCTTTGTGTCTTCTACTGTGAAGATTGACAGGAATTTCTGCTATTTCCTTATTCCCTGTTGTAATTTCTCCTGCCTGATTTACTTCCAATTGTTTGCAAATTTGTAAAATCTGTTTCTGTATTTCTTGTTAGTTTACTCATGTTCTAACTTATCTCTCTAAAATTAGCAAACAGTCATTAAGAAATTAGTGAAGGCTTCCCAATCTTCAACATATAACTACTGTTTATGGCAACATTGTAAGCTACTTCTTTTCATCTTATCTTCAACGTGTCTAGCTACGGTTATACCACTTTTTTGGTAGAGGTTTTATTCCTAAAGGTATCAGGAGAGTTATGAATTATTTCTATTGCTTATCAAATTAATCTCATTTCCTAATCCAGCTCAGCTGATCATACCTCCATACCTGGCTTTCTTAAAGTTAAGAACTGAGTTTAACATTGCACCACATCACTTAAAATTCAACATGAGATATTCACCCATATTATGATTGCCATTCCCAAGAGGGGAATTGTGCCACCTTATTCACTGCTTAATCTAAGTAACCTGGTACCTAGTTGATTCCTCACCATATTTTTGGTACTTGTGAATATTATGGATCTGTCTATTGCAGAATACCTGCTCAGGAAAGTGCCCTGGAAATGTTGTTACTGTATTTTTGTTGTCTGTTCTCTCAAATACCATCCTTTAAACTCCTAGGGTATGCTTTGGTAGGTTATGTGAATCAGTATCTCTCTCTGACCCTTAGAGAGAGAGATTCCTGTAATGTGTCCCAATTTAAAGTCACTTCAATCCATTTTCACCTCTCTGTTCTGCTACACCTTCCAAGGAATAAACTGATAAGGTGACCCTTGGATTGACTTTGAATGCAACAACGGTGGATAATTTTATCAAGATGCTGGGTATCAACTTATCAACTTCTTGGTAGATATCTGTGATTTCCACTCGTAGACCTGAAGGCTTCACACTACTTTGTTGTTTTGCTTTCCTCAGCCAAAATCTGGAATGAGATGGAGAATCTCAATGTGATTCTTAAATAAGCAATAATGTTTCCAAATTGCAAACATGTGACATTTCTTTACCCATTTCAACCATTTTCCTGCCTCTCTGAGTGAGACTGCTGGTTCTTATTCCACTGTTCATACAGCCAGTAAGTAGGCATTATCCAGATCTGGACTAGAATTGAACCCATCTCCTGAAGTTGGAAGGGCAGTGACAGCCTGTCCTGACTTTTGATACGATTTTGGAAAAACTGCAGTAATTGAATTTCCATTCTCAAACTGTTGTTAAAATGTTGTCAATTTTTTAAACTTCATTTTTATAGGACTTGGTGAACCTTGCTCCCAGGAAGCCAGACTGGTATGTGTCTGATTTTTGTATCTCTCAAGATGTTGTTTTTGAAACAAATGTGTCCAATTTGTGTCCAAGTTAATCTGTTCTAGTTTATGATATGTTTTTCAATTTGATGGGTTTTCTTATGCAGGGATCTGAAGAGGGATGTAGCTAAGAAACTGGAAAAACTGGAGAAGAGGACACAGAGAGCAATAGCAGAACTAATCCGTGAGTAATTAATGAATTATCAGGTTTCATTGCGCTGATTGGAAGCATTGGTGGTCACAAAAGAGAGTTTCCAGAATTGTTGAGGTAATTCATTCAATTTGGTTTAGGTCAAGTGGAAGGAATACTACTTCTAGGTCAAAACTGATAATTGAAAACTAATTCCTTAACTGACCGTTCTTACTGTCTGGAATGCTTTGTCAAAAATGGTTACTGTGGCAGAGATTATGGTTAACTTGCACGTTAATTAAAAGTGTGTTTGAAAGGATAAATGCATTAGCACATAACAAAATAATGGTAGACGTTGGCAGTCCCCAGCATTGCTGTGATGGGCTAAATAGTATCATCTTTTGTTGCAATTTCCACCATTCTGTGTTGTGCCTACTTGCATACACAGGTGTAAGAAAGGTTCAAATACAAACATGAATTAGGAACAGCAGTAGACCATTCAACCCCTTGAACCTGCTCTGCCATTTGATAAGATTGTTGCTGATCAGTGACTGAGATCAGGAGCAATGTCTGCTGTGGCCATAAAGTTAGTCTACTGATTAACCTGCAGGCCAACATCCTACATGCTCAACGGGCATCATTAGCAGAAGAGGAGGAAAAAGATCAGAAAATAAACAGATGTGGATACAGCTAAGTTAAGCGGTGCAGTGCCATACTTGGCAAATAGTGGTGTTGTCCCACTGTTGGTAGGAGGTGACACAACCGCACAAGATCCTGTTAACGCCTAACATACTATCACAAAATGCATCTCCTTTGCACCCAATCTCTGTCATACGCTCTGTCTTTTACTTCACTTTTCTCTCAATGTCTCACACTCTCTTGCCTGTCTTTCTCGTTCTCGTACTCCCACACTTTTGCTGTCTTCTCCATCACACTGTCACTTACATGTATGACTAATCGAGTATATGTATAGGCTTTTATTTATATTACATGACTTTGTTCAGGTGTGCTTACAGAAGCAGTGAGCATGAAGTCCTGAGCACAACCACCAACTAGCAGATGATAGTTTAGTAAGGGCAAGGGAAGAAAGCCTATTTGAAAGTTTGGAAATAACAATGTTGGAATGATGTTAGTTATTTATTTTCCATCCCACAGGCGAGAAGCTAAAAGGTAATGAAGATGATCTGGCATCTGCAGTTGGAGCTGTGAAGCAGGAAGATTATGACTCTGAGTGATTCAGATTTTCGTATGAAAATGGAGGTGTGGGGGAGTCCAAACGCACAGCAGCTGACTTCATGGAATGAGAACATTGTAATGGTACTCACTGAGTGATCACAGTGAAGAGGAAAGAGATTGTTCAGCCTTTTTTTCCCAAGAAGATTCTGCAGTTGTCTTTCCAGTGATTGTCCAGGCTCTACCAGCTTACCTGAAACTCAATTAAACTTGTTGCTGCATGAAGAACTTACTGAAATCAGTTCTAAATTTACTTCTCCTATTGTTACAGTTTATTTTGATATGGCCCAGGATTTACTTTTTCTGTACCATTTACTAATATCTACACTTCCCTGCATCACTCTCGGTTTCTTACTTTCTAGGTCAAAGCGTCAATTGTTTTTCTTGCTGCTCAATCCATCTGACATAAGAAGTCAACCTTTTAGCCTCTTCTCTACACTGATTTCAGAGTTTGGATGATTCTTCGTGTTTTGCTGACCACAGCTGGAAACAGCAGCCAGTGCGATCTATCTCGAACACTGTGCAGTTATCCACAAACAACTGTTCACTTTGGAGTCCTGAGTTCTTTTCCTGTGTTTTCTCCAGATTTTCATTATTGTTAATGTTGGTTTAAGAGGAAAAGCTTTCCTACACCTGCAGTATAATTTACATGTCTCTTAGAGACCATAAATATCTCCTTATGATCATGGATACTTATAAGCTCATTTGATCCTGGAGGAAATCTAATCAAATTGATGTTAATTGGAGGGTTTAGGAGAATGGGAGCCGTGAGGTTTTACAGAGCCTTCAGGATCTGAGAGTTGAAGCCTGTAACGTTAAAACCCATTGAAATTATAGAATGGAATTTATGTAAGTAGCTACAGACTCACAACTTGAGCTCACGAACAAACTTTGTAGCTTTTAAAAATTCTCAATCTGCAAACAAACAAAAAACATACATAATTTGCTGAATGTTATGGAGATGCTGTGCAGTATCTGAACGAGGAAAGGCAAGTGAATATTTCCAGCATCGGCAGTTCCTACTATCTCTGAATATTTCTGATAGAATTCGTACCTGCAGTTTTTCTTTTAAAAAGAATTTCTTCTTGAGTTTCAGTCCTGCATGTGTCAGTGTGGTGTATCCCTTTCTGGATATCGATGAAGATTGTAGATCTTTTTCATGTGTAGGTGTTTGTGTTCCTCTGTGTAGGCTTGTAAGTGTCTGCCTTCTTGCCTGTGTATGAGGGATGCATCCACATCTCCATCTGTTTGAGTGGGGCATGTCCACCTCTGTCAGTGACTGGTGTCACCACTTAGAGTTGGGATTTCACGAAACAGACTTTTACCCCCTTGTTAACTGGTTATTCTTTCTGCTCTGCATTGTTTTGGACAGCCTTTTCTGTATATTTTATATGAAATGATGTACCAATTTATAATAAAACAAACTACAAAACAAAACTACTGAGTGACAGTGAAATAAATTACATTGTCATCTGGAGTAACTGGTCAGATAATCTCAACCAGCACTATTGAAAGTGCATTATCTGGTTCAAGTCTCATTTGCCAGGGTCCAATTAAAAGCTCTGACCACTGGACTCCTCTGACCAGTGAAATCAAGGTGACCCAAACAACCTGATTTGCAGAGGCCCTTGGCAGTCCACTAATACTGATATTGACCTATAAACCTGGGGTCAACCAGATTCTATTGGAATGTTATGCTAGGCAAAGGTAAAAATTAAATCTCATAGAAGATAAAGGATTGACAAATATACTAAATGAGTACGAGCAAATTACTGCAAATGCTGGAATCTCTATTAAAAACAAAAAATACTGGAAATAACAGCAGGTCAGGCAGTATCTGTGGAGAGAGAACAAGCTAATATTTCGAGTCTAGATGACCTGATCAGAGCTGACGTAAATTGTGAAGGGGACAGCATTTATGCAATAGTTAGAGCATGGAATGCTGGGGGCAAAAGGGTGCTGATAGTGCAGATTAAGTGATTGGAATGTGAGAATGGCTGAACAATGGGTCTCTGGCACTGTCAGGTAGTAGTGCTAATGACTGAACTACCATGCTGCCTATTCTTGTGGCTGAGTTTCAAATTCAAACCACACCAAGAAACATCTTATTTAACTGTTGGATTTATTCATTAAACTATTTCATATTTATGGCCCCTAGTTTTTCTAAGGAAAGTCCCAACTCGTTTTAAGTGAGTTGGTAGTAGGAATCAAAATAGTGCAAAAGGCAGAGCAATGGCTATTAGGCTGATTATTGATAGGTAAGTGGTTAAAAAAAGCCTGTGGTGCTATGGGCTTTTGTTTTATCTAAATAGGTGCCTGAGTACAAAAGCAAGGAAGTTAAACCTGAATAAAATGCTGGTTCAGCCTCAACCAGCAACATGTGTCCATTTCTGAGCATTACACTTTAGGAGGAATATGAAAGTATTAGAGTGCAGAAAAGTTTCATGAACTGGTTTTTCAGTTACAAAGACCAAAAGAATTGTGGATGCTGTCTGTAAATCAGTAATAGAAGTTCTGAGGAAGGGTCACTCGACCTGAAACATTAACTCTGATTTCTCTCCACAGATGCTGCTAGACCTGCTGAGCTTTTCTGTTTTTGTTTCAGTTATGAAGACAGATTGGCACAGTTGGGATTGTTTTCCTTGGATTAAAAGGGCTAAAATGAGATTTGATAGAGGTTATCAAAACCATGGAAGGGTCAGGTCAATATATGCAGGAAGAAAAATTTCCACATTTCCTATTGGTGGAAGGAATGAGAGCCAGAGATCACAATTGAGCCTACTCTGCCATTTAATCCGATCATGGCTGACCAAACAACAAATGCCTTTTACCCACACTATTCCCATAACTCTCACACCATTGCTAATGAAACATGTATTAACCTCTAAATGTACTCAAAGACTGAACTTTCACAGATGTTGGAGTAGAGAATGCCAAAGATTCGCCACCCTCTGGGAATTCTCCCTGTCTTGGTACGAAATTCATTTCTAAAAAAATTGTACCCTTGGCTCTGGATTCCCCAACCAGGGAAAGCATCTTGTCTGTATGTGCCTGTCCATTCCTTTAAATATTTTAGAGGTTTCCATGAGATCACCTTTCATTCTTCAAAACTGTAGAGAATAATGGCCTATTTTGCCCATTTCTCTTTAATGGAGATTGCTGCCATCTCAGGAACAAATCTGGTAAACCTTCATTGCATTCCTCTATGGCAATACGATTTTACCTGAGATGAAAACTGCACCAAGTACTCTAGGTGCAATCTAACCAAGTTCCTGTGGATTTGAAGCAATACTTCATTCCTCCTGTACTCAAATCCGTTTGCAGTAATGGCTAAAATTCCATTAGCCTTCCTAAATAGCATGTTGCAAAGAAGGAAGAGGAAGTAATAGTGACCAAATGCATTATCTGCCAGTGTGGTGGAAGTGGGTTCAATTAAGACATTCAAGAGGGAATTGTGTTAGTATCTGAAAAGGAAACATGTACATGGTTATATGGAGAAGATGAGGGAGTGGCATGAGGTGAATTGCCCCTGTTCTGCTAGCTCTGATTCTACATCTTGAGAGACTTAAAATAACGAAAGTGATATCACAAATTTACAAGAACAGAAGAATTAGGGGAAAAAAGTAGGCAATTAAGTCCCTTTTTCGATAAGATCTAATTGATTTTGATTGTGTGTTCCACTTTCCTAGCTACCTCCATATCCTTTAATTCTCCTATCATCGATCGTACAATCCCTACAGTGTGGAAACAGGCCCTTTGGCCCAACAAGTTCACACAGACTGTTCACCATCGCACCCAGACGCATCCCCCTATAACCCACCTAATCTACACATTCCTGAACACTTTGGGCAATTTAGCATGTCTAATCCACTTAATCTGCACATCTTCGAACCATGGGAGGAAACCCACGGGCAGAATGTGCAAACTCTACACAGACAGTGGCCCAAGGGTGGAATTGAACCTGGGTCCCTGGCGCTGTGAGGCAGTAGTGCTAACCACTGAGCTGCCGTGCTGCCCTTTACCCTACCATCCCTTCCTTGCCTCTGTTGGACAAACCTATTCAGTACTGTAGCAACTGCTCCCTAAACAACCTCCACATTTCTATCGTGCATTTCCCTGAGAACATCTGATTCCAATTGGTGCTCCTAAGTTCTTGCCTAATAGCATTGTAATTCCCCCTCCTGCAATTAAATACTTTCCCATACCGACTACTCCTTTCCCTCTCCATGACTATAGTAAAAGTCAGGAAGTTGTGATCACTATCACTGAAATACTCTCCCACTCAGAGATCTGACACCTGACCTGGTTCATTTCTGAGCACCAAATTCAGTAATGGCCTCCCCTCTAATCGGCTATCTACATCTTGAGTCAGAAATCCTTCCTGGACACACCTGTCAAAATCTGGTCCATCCAAACTCTTTGCACTTAGGATGTTCCAGTCTATATTAGGGAAGTTGAAGTCGCCCATGACAATAACCCTACTACTTCTGCACCTTTCCAAAATCTATCTCCCAATCTGCTCCTCGGGGGGTCTATAGAAAACTCCCAATAAAATGACTGCTCCTTTCCTGTTTATGACTTCCATCCATACTGACTCAGTGGAGAAACCCTCCTCCACGAACTCCCTTTCTGCAGCTGTGATACCATACCTGGTTAGCAATGCCACTCCCCCACCTCTTTTACCTCCCTCCCTATTTCTTTTGAAATATCTATACCCCGGAACATCCAACAACTATTCCTGCCCCTGTGTTATCCAAGTCTCCGTAATGCCCATAACATCGTAGTCCCAAGTACTGATCCATGCTCTTAAGTTCGTCACCCTTATTCCTGACAAAACCTTAAGAATTCTAAAATGTAATTATTCGCTGAGGAAAACCATATTCCCATCTGTTTGAAATGGAAAGCATCTTTTTTTAATTTGAAACGACGTCTCCCAGAGTTCTCGATTCCTCCCACACGGGTAGATATGTTCTCAGTATCCACCTTGTCAAGTTCACGCAGGGTCTCATTATTTCAACAAAATCACATTGCATTCTTCTAAACTACAATATATACACGTTCGACCTTCCCTCGTGAACGTAGTGTATTATTGAACCTATTGTTTATTTCTACGGGATAGTTTATTTGGATTAAAACTGTTGTGTTTGTGTAAATGGAACAGATAAAGAACTTTGACGTTCCAGGCTTTAGGACAGCCACAGGTACACTCCTGCAACCTTGCTGTGACATTCGCCGCAATGTACATCCTGGTCACATGCCTATGACGTGCGTTAAACGATCCGATTGGTCAATCTGACGTCGTCACGCCGGCGATGACCCCTGTACGTCATCAGCAGCGCCCGGATGAAGGATGTGGGCGGCCATGCCGCTGTCGGGGTTTAGGGTGAGTGAGCCTTGGGGAGGGAGAGCTTGACATCCGCGACTCTGAAACACTGTTGTGTTGAGGGCCGGAACAGTGACAGCTCGGCTCTATCTGCGTCCGGGCCCCACTTTTCTCGGTTAAAGAACTAGACCCTTCCGCCTTCCTGTCCTCATCTTACTCCTTCCTCTCTCTCACTTCCTCCATCCCCCTAAGTCAACCGCCTCAGACACAGGCTTTCACCCTGCTGCTTCTCCACTGTCTCCCTCTCACACATCCTCACTATCCCTCTCTCACACACACATCCTCACTATCCCTCTCTCACACACACATCCTCACTATCCCTCTCTCACAAACACATCCTCACTATCCCTCTCTCACAAACACATCCTCACTATCCCTCTCTCAC